CTGGTTAGAACCACTGCCCCATTCAGTGGAGGCCACTTACTGTGGAAGTGGGAACTGGGGACCACAATCTCTTGGCCTCCCCTCCCCTCCTGTCCCCTCCTCTCCCCTCCCCTCCCCCCCTCCCCTCCTCTCCCCTGTTCTCTCCCCTCCTCCCTCCCCTCCCCTCCCCTCCTCCCTCCCCTCCCCTCCCCTCCCTACAGACCCCCCCCACCCAGCACTGCAGGCCCGGCCACGCCCACACGTCGCTGGCCAGGGTACAGTCGGACCATCCCAGGAGATGCCCCCCCCAGCTCCCCTCTACTTGTTCCCATGCCCCAGAAACAGCCCAAGCTAATTTCCAACAGCCCCGTCACAAACTCTCCCGAGAAGCCCGGAGGATTCCTGGCCGTGCCTTCCACAGGCTGCAACCTGAGCCCTTTGTATTTCTCCACATCCTGTTTCTGATTTCCGTGCTGGGCTCAAAGCAGGGAAAGAACTTGCGCCCCGTGCGTTCCGGAGAAAATCAGCAGAGGCTCTGAAGGAGAGACCAGGTCCACGTGCTCACTGGTGGAATGCGTGAGGACGGTCCGCAGGGAGCAGGAAGAGGAGGGGCCCACGGAGCCGTGAGCAGTGTCCCCAGGCAGCGCTTCCCTTCCCGGGGCCTCTGGCAGCACACTTAAGCTGACCTAGTTTCCCCATTTGTGAAAGAAGAGTGAGAACACTACCCCTCGGGGCTACCACCTGTGGACTGCGCTAAGCACCATCATGATGCTCACCCCACGTGGATTATGAACCCCCAGTGATTTTCAGTGAAGGTCACGCTGTTGGGTTAAGCTGTCCAGAGTCGAGGTAGAATTCTTACCCCGCCACCTGTCATGCCTTCAGCCCAACCTGCCTCCAGGGTCCAGGACAGCAGAGTGGTTCAGAGACCAAGGTCATAGGCAGCTGGCCCACACGTGGAGTCCCAGGTGGGCCGGCCAGCCCAGTGGGTCCGTCCTGGTGCTCAATAGATGCTCTGCAGGTCACTTAACGGGTGGGAGAGTGAATTGGGGGTTGGGCACAATGCAACATTTTGAAGTTTTATCCGCCTCCACTTGAGCTTCCTCGTCTGTCAAGTGCAGCTCAGCCGGATTGTCTTGAGCAGCTACATGATGGCCATCTCCGTAGTCTCCCCCTGTACCCGGGGCTGGGGTTGGGGTGCCAAGGGCCTGTCCAACACGGACTTGTCCAGGAGAGGGTTGACACCGAATGGGATGGAGGAGCAGGTGGGACTGCTCTGGGACTCAGGGAAATCCCTGGGGACACTTCTGGTTTAACAGAGATGAAGGCTGCTTCCCAGAGCATGCACCGCTCGGCCCCCTGCCGAAGCCCAGGACAGCGGCCAAAACAGAGTCCCGCGGGATGCAGGAGACCCCTGGAGATCCCTTCCTCAATTCCTGCGGTCTCAGGGCCCTGGACGCAGCCCAGCCATGGCCAGGAGGGAGAAGACGGTGCCGGGGTCAGGACTCTGCCAGCTCCTTAGGGGGGATCCACGTTGAAACCATTGAAATACGAATGGAACTCTCAAAAATATGTGGAGTCCGCTGAGGAAATTGGAAAGCATCCGTCACGGCGCTGTTTATTTGGGGCCTTTCTAACCATGGCCAATTTTTCATCAGGAGAGAAAATTAAAACAAATAAAACCATGAGCACTCTCTCCCAGGAGAGGCCAGATCCATTTCTCTGTTCCCAGCCAGCCCCTCAATGCTAATATTGAAATTAAAAAAAGAAAAGAAGCCGTATGTTTTCCGTCTTGAGGATCTGCCTCGCTCTCCCGTTGGACTTGCAGGCTGGGCAGGGAAGGAGAGCAAGCTGCTACCTGGGGGACGGGTCCCCGGGTCTGGGTTCCGTCCCACCTCGCGGCTGTGTGTCCCCCAGGGCAGACTTACCACGCACCCTGGGCCGCTTGGGTTTAAAGTGCTCATAAATAACAGCATCTCTCTCTGGGGTGATTGGGAGGATTCAATGAGATGATACAGGCCACACTATGCCCGCGGCCTGCCCAGGGTGAGAGTGTCCATCAGGTTTTAACTCTTATTACTATCAGTGATCTCAGAACTCCATCTCAGGGGGAAGGGTGGGCCTCAACCCCCAAGTCATTTCCCTTTTATAGTTCTAGGCCCCTGGGTCCCACTTGGTCGTGAACTCTCTCAGGGGGTCTATTAACCCTTTAAGCAGATTTTAAAAACCCGGCCTGCTCCGGATCCCTGACCATGCTGCAGTCCCTCCTGGAACCTGGCCATACTGTCCCCGGAGTCAGGAGAGGGGAGGTCATGCTGAGCACCCCGGGAACTAGTTTTCCTCCGAACACGGATCCCAGTTTTGTTTAAAAAAAGAGACTCGAGGAGACAGATGGATTCCTAACTGTCACCACAGCGGGGGGTGGGGTGGGGTCGCTCCTCAGAGGACACCTGCAGGATTCCACGTCTCCCTGGGAGTCAGACTCGGGGGACGGGGGACAAGCAGGCCGACTTGTAAACCCCAGGTCTGGTTCTGGTCTGGACAGGATGCGGCATGTCGGGGGCACACAGGCTGAGGAGTGTGTGGGGGGAACTACTTAAATTCCTAAGGCATCCACGGCAAGGGATCCAGGAAACGCTGGTGAAATTGAAGTAATGAGGACATTTCCATGGGGCTCTGCATGTTGAGTCAGACCAACAGCGGGACCTGATCATGCTTTAGCAGCAGGAAACATCTCGAGCCTCCAGGACTGCAGAGCCCAACATGGAGGGGACAGGGGGGCGGAGCACCTTTTTGTTGTTGTTGGGGGAAGTATCAGGGATTGAACTCAAGAGCACTCGACCACGGAACCACATCCCTACCCCATTTTGTATTTTATTTAGAGACAGGGTCTCACTGAGTAGCTTAGGGCCTCGCTGTTGCTGAGGCTGGCTTTGAACTCACCATCCTCCTGCCTCAGCCTCCCGAGCCACTGGGATTACAGGCATGGGCCACCGTGTCCACCCTAAGTGCTTCTTTTTTGAGTGAGGGTGTGGGGGATGCCTGGTAGGGAGAACCACGGGACTCCTGCAGATTGGCAGCTGGGAAGTGACCCGGTCTCCCTGGTTCTGCCCAGGGCCATCCTGCTTCTGGTGCCCTGCTCTGGCACTGTGGTCATCCTGCCAATGTAGCAGCTGTCTCCCTCCGGGGACCGGGCACTTAGCAGGCTCCTGTGCTATACAATCGTCATTCTATTTGCTTTGGCCAAGACACCAGAAGAGAGGGGCTGGATGCAGTCCTTCCTTAAAAGTAACCAGTGCAGGAGACCCCTCGGGGAATGGAACAGTCTGTGGTCATGAATATTCAGGAGGAGGACAAAAGCAAACAGCGTCTGTGGGGCAGGAAACTGGCCACAAATAAATTCTCCACCCAAGGACCAGGAGCAGGCCTGGGAATAATGGCACAACGTCCCCAGGTCCCCCACAGCTGCCTCAGTGAGCCGGTCTTGTCCCCGGCTACCTTCCCAGTGCCCAGCACCGTGCTGGCCCCGGTGGGTGCTGGGGAAGACTTGTCAAATAAAGAAAAGAATTAGGAACCTCCTGGCTCCTGTCCTGCCACGAGTTTGTCCTGAACAAGAATTCAAGATCCGGTCTCCCGAGATTCTTGTGCCCTGGCTATTGAGCCCCACGTGAACCCAGGCACTGCTGAGAGGGGACTTTGCAGATGGAATTAAAACACAACGCGAATGACCTTTAACTTACAGAGATCATCCTGGTGAGCCTGGCCCAATCAGGTGAACCCTCGAAACGCAGAGTTGTCAGGGACTGGTGGGAGAAGGGAAGTCACAGGTATCCAAGCAGAAGGACACTCAGCGTGCCTTCCCTGGCTTTGAAGATGGAGCAGATCCTTTGTGAGGATCCGGGCTCAACCCCACAGTCTGCAAGGGATGGGGAACCCAGTCCGATAACCACAGGTCACTCAGTTGTGCCAACAGCATCACCGAGCCCAGAGCGGGGTCTTCCTCACAGCCTCCAGATATGAGCCAGGTCCAGTTAACAGCTCACCGGTGCCTCGTGAGACCCTCAGCAGAGGACAGGTGGAGCCCCCTTGAGCATCTGGCTTGCAGAACTGTCGGCTCATAAGTGGTTGCTGTCGCAAGGTACTCGATTTGTGGTGCTTTGTTACTCCGAGACAGAAAACGAATACAGGTACAATTAAAAACAAAACAGTGTATTCCCGGCCAGGAGTAGAGCACAGTGGTTAGGGACACAGACCTGGGCCACCAGGCCTGGATTCAAACCCAGCCCTGCCACTTCACTGGCTGAAAACCTTGAGCAAGTATTTAACCTCCCTGGAACTTGGCTTCCCCACCTGCGAAGTACCGATTGCCACATGGTCACCCACTAACCCAACTGCTGCCTTTAAATATGAAAAGGGATATTTGAGAAATAGGTAATTCATAAGTTATAAGCTGTGCTCCATTCTGACCATTGTGGTGGAGTCTCACTCGGTCCTACTCTATCTTTCCCTGGAGGTGAATCATCCCTTTGCCCAGAGTATCCACGCTGTATACGCTACCAGCCAGGTGGCTGTCCTGTTTCTCGATGAACCACTGGGGTACTGCAGTGCTAGTGTTCAAGGAGTCCTTATCTTACTTAATAACAGCCCCAGAGTGCAAGGGTTGTCATGCTACAGGTTCAAGCATGTTGAGAGGATCCCGAAAGTGCCTCCTTTAGGGAAAGGTGAAAGTTCAGTAAGATATTTTGAGAGAGAGAGGATAGTAACATAACGTTTATTATGGTGCATTCTTATAATTGTTCTGTTTTATTATTTGTCACTGTTAATTTCTTACTGTGCAGAATTTATAGACTGGACTTTATCACAGGTATGTGCATGTAGGAAGATCCTTAAGATATGAGGTACAACCCATGATTTTAGACACCCATTGGGGGGTCTTAGGACATACCACCCCATGGATAAGGGGACAAGGAGTCCCTCAAAGGGTCACGGTAAGCATCAAATAGAGCACAGAACAAAGATACTTAGAGCAGTGCCTGCTACACAGGACATGTCATATAAATCCCACTTTTATTATTGTTTAAAACAATGCACTCTTAGCCTGGCGGCACAGGCCTGTAATCCTAGGGACTCAGGAGGCTGAGGCAGGAGGATCACAAGTTCAAAGCCAGCCTCGGCAATGTAGTGAGACCCTGTCTCAAAATTAAAAACACAGTAATAAAATGATAATAATAGGATTATTACTGGGATGTGGCTCAGTGGTTAGGTGACCAGGTTCAATCTCTAGGACCCCAAAACAATAAAAGCAATGTATTCTTAGAACCTCCTCCAAACCCTGGGATCTGGGGAAGCTGGTGTCAGACCCCCGTGGCACTCATCAGTGGAAGTCCCGTCCCACTCCCTGTCTTCTGTGTGCCCAGGCCACCCTGCAGGGGTCTGGGCTGCTGCCCCTGGCCCTGGGGCCAGAGCACACCTACGGGGAGAGGCGGGTGGCCATCATGAGCAGAGCGGGGCCTCGTCCCCTGAGCCCTGCTCGATTTTTCTCTGGAAGGCTTTAGAGGTCTGGCCAGCACTTGGCACATGGCTTGAAAGGAAATGTGCAGACTCTCGTGGGCCTTTGAACTGAAGATCCCGGGGGAGGAAGGAGAAGTGGCCCCGAAGGGCTCTTGAGCCTCTGAGCCCTCGGGGCTGCCATTTCCTCCCTGATTCATAAGATAAAGGACAAGGCGACATCTCTGCAAGATGCCATCCGTCCAGCCAGTGGCCCCGAGGAGCCAGCCCACTAGACATGAATTGCAGAGCTGGCGGCTCAAGGGCCCTCCTCCGCTGTCCTAAATGATCCCGGGCCCTGGATCCCTGCCAAGGAGGAGTAGCGCGCACTCCAGGCCCCGGGCCACCACCACCGCCACCGCCTCCCGGCATAGTCATCAGGGCGCATCGGGGAGGGGGGGGACGTTCGAGCCACAGCCTGAGCCGGGGAGGCCACGTGCTCTGCAGCCATGGGCGGAAGGACCTGGAAGAGCCGTCCTGCCCCTGAAGGATACTGGCCGCGGGGCCAGGCCCGAGGAGAGGCCTTGCCACCACGGCACCGGCTCCCGCCCTTCCAGAGGAGTTGTGCGAATGGGCGCTGACCCCACCTGCACACCATCTGTTCCGTGGCCTCGGTCTGAAGCGGCAGCGGAGAAGCCGGCCAGCTGGCTGCAGGACTTCCTGACTGCCATTCTTGTTCCTAGGACCAAGTGGTGTGCAGCCCCGGGACGGTTTGGAATGTTAGATGATGCACCGATTTCTCTGGCTTTTCCCTCTCAGGACCCTGGCTCTTCAAAGCGAACTTTCTGATCATCCGCTTTCGCATCACCTGGGAGGTTGTTAGAAACGCAGACTTGCAGACCCACTGAGTCCGAAACGGCAGCCGAATAATGTCCCTGGGGAGGGGGGGGGACGTTCGAGCCGCAGTCCTGACGTTCGAGCCGTAGTCCCCCGTCTGAGATGGCTCTCCCCAGCCCAGGTGGGGAGGCTGAGTCACCCGGTGCTTTGGAGAGCAGTTGCTATGGAACCAGGAAAGCCAGAGGGAGAGGTGGATTCCTGATGAGCGAGTTTAAAAAAAAAAAAAATGCCCTGGTTTAAATTTAAGCAGAAGTTCTCCACGCAGACTTGTAGGATGCTGCTTTTCCCCCCTCGGGGATAAATCGTGTCTCCGCGCCTGGGGAGGCTGGGGAAAGAGGGCCACGGGGCAGCAGCCAAGTGAGATCAAAAGGCCCTGGATGGAGGCCATCCGCCCAGTGCCAGGGAGCCACATGGCCGCCCAGCCAGTGCCCAGGTGTCTTTCCCAAGGCCATCTGTTGGGACACTCGTGGCCATGTTGCCAGCCAAGTGTGCAGAAGGACATGCTCTTCAGCGCCCAGAGAAGTTGCTTCATGTCCTCTCTGGAGGTGGGCCCTGGGTCACTAAAGAACTAGTGTGCCCTGGGGGGACCGCTCCACCAGGAGCATCCAGCACTCGGCCGGACCCCTCCCGCTCCATGGTCCCCTATGCAGGGCCCACCAGGTGACTCAGGACTGTCAGCGTCCCCCTCCACCTTCCATGGAAGAAGACACAGTGACAGCGACTTGCAGCACGAGGGGTCAGACCCGGGAATGTCCTCAGAGGTCATGAAAAGCCCTCTTCCTTCCTCTGCGCACCCTTTCTTCTGTCTCTTGCTGTCTCTCTCCCGTCATTTCCTCCCTCTGTCTGTTCCATTAATTACGTAAGCATGGACACAGTGTCCTCTTACAAGTCAGGGTCATGCTGGGCACTGGGAGCCCCAGGGTGGGCAGATGGACGGCCCCTGTACCCATGTAGCTGACCCTCTAGTAGGGAGACTCTCTCTAAACTGTCTCTGAGAGACCACAAGACATGGTCCACCAGGGGTCACCCACTTAGCAAGGACCTGTTCTCCCTGGGGAGTTCAGGGTGGGATGCCTAGGAGCCGGGGTGCCATCGGCTTTTTGGAAGGCACCAGCAGGCCACGCAGACCCACATGGTGGCCTTCCTGCTCTCTCCCGGGGGACTGGCCGGGTTGACCCTGAGAGGAGCAAGGCCCCCCATATGCAGCACCTTCTCGTGTTGCTGGAACCCCGGCCACTCCCTGGCCACTGTGAGGAATGGAAGCCCGGGTCCCCGAGCCTCAGAGACACAGGCCGGGAGGCGGCTGGCCTTCAGAGGTCGCTTGCCCACAGCAGGTAGTGGTTCTCGGGTCTTGCCTCCTGCCCTGTGCAGAGAAGGTTCCAGAGCCGCCAGCTCAGGCCCACTTCAAACCCCAGCCCTGCTCCTGGCTGCAGCGTGGCCGGAGCCACCTCTCTCTCACCCTGTTCTGGCTGGTGTTCCCCAGCGGGAAGCCTGCACTCCCTTGGGGTGGCCTGTCTGCTGTGGGGTGGAGGCCAGTGGGAAGGGGAGGCTGGTTTCCCAGCCCCTGCCCTGTGGGGGCACAGAGCCTCCGTCTTGGGGCTGCTGCGAGGGGAAACACGGCCCACGGTATGCCCAGAGCTGGTGTGTGCTGAGGCACAGGGTTCTGGCGCCTGTGACAGCTGTGGCCAGGGGAGCATTCCTCCGTGGAGGGAATGGGACATTGAATAGCAAAGAAAAGCCAGGCACGTGACTCACACCTGTAACCACAGCAGCTCGGGAGGCTGAGGCAGGAGGATCGTGAGTTCAAAGCCAGCCTCAGCAAAAGCAAGGCCCTAAGCAACTCAGTGAGACCCTGTCTCTAAATAAAATACAAAATAGGGCTGGGGAGGTGGCTCAGTGGTCGAGTGTCCCTGAGTTCAATCCCCAGTATCCGCCCCCCCCAAAAAAAGTAGCAAATGAAGACAAAGGCAGAGGGCAGGAGGGCAGCGGGGAACACATAATAATAGTGAGAGACGGAGACAGATGGCGGGGGACAGAGAACGGAAGAGGCTTTCCACTCTACGGTCTCCAGGCACCTCTCCTGCTTTCTGATTGGGGGCCTGGGGCAGGCTCCTGTTTCCACTGCGGAGGGCTCTGCCCAAGGGCAGTGAGGGGTCCAGCTCCCGCCCAGCCACCTGGGGCCTCTCCTGGTTCCTCACCCAGAGCAGAGGCCTGTCCTCCGTCAGGAGCCCTCCCCGGCCTCCTGGCCACTTGGGCACATCCTGGAAGGCTGGGCCTCCACGTGCCACCTGTCGGGCTCGTTCCCCTAAGTGTCACTTTGCTTAGTTGTGATGCGGCATTGGTTGAGGGTCTGCCGGGTTGGACCCCCTACAGAAATCTCCCTGGCTTCCCCCGGCCCCCCACGAGGTACAGGCTGCCTTGGGCCCCCTCTGCCCCGGGGAGGCTGAGGCTCCTCCTGCCCAGCCTCCCTTGCCCTGGCTGCCCCCTGCCTTTGCCCAGAGCTGCCATCGATGAAGTGGCCTTGCCTCTCATTTCCCCCAGGGCCACACTGGCTTGGTGACGCTCCAGTTGGTGCCTCTTCAAGCACCATTCTTAGCAGAGTTGGCCTGGATCTGCCCTGGGCCAGCTCCGCGGAGCTGGAAGCCCTGGCTGCTCCCAGGAGAGGCTTTCCAGAAGGAAGGGACTCGGACTGTGATGGAAACCGCCAGGCGCTGGCTGGGGAGGGACGGTCCCCACGCCACCTCCCCGGGCCTCCAACGGGCAGCTCGGCACGCTGCAGGCTCTCTTCTGTGGGTCTTTAGGTCGCACAGGGAGGGCTGCACGGCGGAGCCAGGATCACAGTAACTGCAGGCCGCTGTGGCTCTCTGGCGGCCGTGCCCGGTGGAGGCTGCCAGCTGGCCCTGCTAATTACCTGTCGCCCAGGATGGGGAGGGAGACAGAGCGGACACAGAGGCCCCGGCAGAAGGCACCAGACCATGGCAGGCTGGCATCTCTGGGGTCTGGGCTGCCCAGCCGGCCCCAGGGCACTGGCTGTGCTGTCGCAGGGAATGACCTGGTGAGTTTCCGCCTCGACCCTCCCAGGCAGCTCCCTGGAGCCGGCCGCCACTCTCCTGTTCAAAGCAACGACCCTCTTTATCCCATGGCACCACGGGAATTGCTGAGGGTAGATTTTTGGGCAGAAGCACAGAGAGGGTGGGAGAAAGAGGCTGTTTCTAGATCAGTGCTGGCCAACAGGGATTCAGGGGAAGCCAGGTCCAGCTGCATCAGGTGGCCGCAGCCACGCAGGTGGGTGGCCACTGAGCCCTCGATGGGGGACAGGAAGCAAGACCTGAAGTGTCCCTCACTGCGCCTGGGTTTGCACTCGAGTGCCCACTCTTTCTTTTCTGCTACGCTCGACACACTCTCCATACCTCAGTTCCTAGCTGCTCCCACGATGGGCTGAGGACCAACAGCCGGGAGCGTGGCCGAGTGCAGCATCTCCTCTGGACGTGCGCATCGGGGCGTCTGCATGGGGACCGGAAGCTCCCCCAGGTCACTAGCGAAGTTGGAGGAGTGAGGAGTGCGCCCCGCGCTGCCCTCTTCCTGTCCCTCCTGGTCACATTCAGTCACTGCCATCCAGTGCTTCCTGGGGCTCCCTTCTCACCTGACTTCCCCTGTCCCTCCACGGGACCTTGGGCCATCGCCACATCCTGACCACACCTGCATTGTCTGCTGCTGTCCCCAGGCCACAGAAGTTGAGAGAAGAGAGACGTCCCAACAAGCAGGGATGAAGGGACATGCGTCCCACGTTTTGACCCTGACTGGGGCCAGGCCCCGTGGTCTTGGTGGGCACTCCTCAGGGGGCATCGGGCCAGGTCCTCACATGGACCCCACCACATCATTATTCCCTCCAGGAGGCTTAGAGGCTAAAGTCCACCCCCAGGCAATTCCTGGGGTGGGGAGGGAGCTGGGAGCCCCGCGCCCTTTGCCTACGTGCGGATGGGCAGTTCTAGCGCTCACAGGGCTTACGCCAGCTCAGAATCCCTCCTGGTCCACTTGATCCATTCGCCACGTCTTCCTCTCAACGATGGCTCACATGTCCTCCATTTCCCTCTTCCCCATCCCCAAACCTCTGTGTGTCCACTGGTGGCAGCTTCCCAAAGGACCTTGGGACTTTGGGGCTGTGTGTTGACTTCCCGCCCAGGACGTCACGTGGAGAAACACTGCTGAGCACCGGCCACGTCCCTGAGCTGGCCTGGCAGAGGGGACACCTTCAAGGGAAAATTTGGAGAAAGAGACAGCAAGAGAAGATGATGTGAGGACGCACGGGGGACACCCCAGCAAGACAGAGGCCAGGGGTGACCACGTGGAGTCCACTCAGAGCCTCACTTACAGGGCCCCAGCGCCAGCATGGACATGCCCTGACCTGACGCTGAAAGACCTGGGATTGAAGCCCAGCTCTGCCCCTTGGTGACCACTTCCCTCCTCTCTGTAAGGTGACACGTTGACCGGGCATTGCCCCCTGGGGGACTGTAGAAAACCAGCTCAGAGAAAGAGCCTAGGGATGGCGGTCTCAGAAGAAATGGCGGTGAACACCACGGGCTGAAGGCCTCTGTGCCGGCTTGGAATCTTCTCAAGAGTCGCAAAGGCACACCCAGAATTTCCTACGCAAGAAGATGGAGTCCACGTATTGGCAGGAACGTCTCTGGATTCTGGCGGGGTACGCCCCTCCACCTGACTTCCCCTCCTTCACCAAGTGGCCCTGAAAACGTTCACATCTGAGCAAGTTCCCTGCCGGCCTGCTCCGCCATCATGGTGGGAGAGGTGGACAGGACTAGGCGGCCGGGGCAAGATGGCCGGTGAGGCGGTCAGGGCAGGACAAGCAACGGGGAGAGGGTCTTCCCGTGAGGTCCGCGTCCTGCTTGACGGAAGTGCTCCGGGACCCAAGTGGGGACCCCATCAGACAGACACTTCTGTACTTGTGCTCCTCAGAGGGGGACCCAACAGAAAAACTAAAGAAGACGCGTGGACACAGGGCACCAGTCAGTAATAGTGAGGAGGGCGTGGACAGGGAGGAGGTGGGAAAGAGGAAATTCCTGAGACCGAAAAGGCACAGGCCCAAACTCCCCCACTGGTTGCCCAGCTCGGGGGCCCTTCTCTTGGGACAATTCTGTCCCTGTCACCTTGCAATAAACCCCCTGCTGCTTGCTGCCTCTGAGTCCTGTTCCTCCACTCTTTGCTGAACAGAGACAACAAACCCAGCCCCTAGACGGTATCAATGGTCCCTGCACGGATGGACGCATCCTGTCTGTTACCTCTGGGGCAGCTCTGGGCTCAGACAGGCCAGGTAGGCAAGGAGAGGGACGCTGCACGTAGGGCCTGGGGGCAGACCCTCTGACCCAGCTGTGCACAGACCCGCCCCCTGTCCCCACGGGCCTCTGCGACTCAGGCTTGCTCAGCTGGGGTGTCCTGTTCTCTGAGCTGCGTGCGCGTGGACCACTCTCGCGGGAATCCAGGAGCTGCCACAGGCCCACAAGCCTGCGACGCTCGGCAAAGCCGGGCAGGTTAGTCCAGAGCACAGGCGGACACGCTGGGGCTCCTGAGCTTCAGGGCCACCCACATTCTGCCTCCGTGACCGCTCCTCATATGTACATGGCTAAGGGCCAGCAGCAGCCCCCTCCACCTCCCAGATGTCAGCAGCACCTGTGACGACCAGAAATGTCTCCACACATCCCCCGGGGGGACAAAATTGCCTGTGGATAGGAATCACTGCGGTAAGCGCCAAACCCGGTGATTCCTCTGTGGGCCTTCGTGAAGTCAAGGGCCCAACGCGAGTGTCACTTTAAATTGTCTTTCTCTAATTCCAAGGAAAATTAAATTTCCTCTTTGTGTGACTCCTTGGCACTTAGACAATAATGACTGTTACCAACAATTGAGTCTTGCATGATGGGCTCTGGCTTCGTCCCATTCTGGGCATAAGGAGACTCGGGATCTGAGTCAGCACAGGGCACGGAACCACCCACGACACAGAATCAGACGCTGGGCGCCTCCTGTTCATGTGACACTCCTGGAGTGGACCCTGGGCCTGAGGAGCACCCAGAGTCCTGCTCTCCTCTGGTGGCAGCTCCCCAAGGCCACCTGCACTCCTTGGCCGGGTCCCTTCCTTTGAGCATCTGTTCTCCTCTCTGACCTCAGCTCCATCCTTGACCCTCCTTCCTCTGACCCCGATGCCCCTGTTACAAGGACATCAGTGACTACTGTGGGTATGGCCACAGCACCTCTCCAACTCAAGGCCCACGGTGTAGCCAGCCCTGCAAAGTCCTTTTACCAGGGGTGGCGACCTACGCAGAGTTGCCAGGGACCAGGATATGGAAAGCTGAGTTTCTCCAGTTCCAAAATCTGCTGGCTCTATGCACAGGGATTTCAAGTTTTCTAATACAGGTGCTTTACTCTTAAAACCAAACCAAAATCAGCTCACTATAGTGACGCAGCCACATCCATGTTTATAGCAGCTCAATTCACGGTAGACAAGCTATGGAGCCTACCTAGGTGCCCTTCAACAGATGCATGAATAAAGAAAATGTGGGACGTATACACAATGGAATATTACTCGGCCTTAAAGAAGAATGAAATCATGGCATTTGCTGGTAAATGGATGGAACTGGAGCATATCATGCTAAGCAAAATAAGCCAATTCCAAAAAACAAAAGGCCAAATATTCTGTTTGATATGCAGATGCTAATTCACAATGGGGGGGTGGGAGACTAGAGAAAAATAGGGATACTTAGGATTAGGCACAGGGGAATGAACGGAGAGGGTAGGAAGGATGGGGAATGAATCAGACCTTATTACCCTACGTGCACACAGGACCACGCGGCCCGTGTAACTCTATATCACCTACAACCAGAAGAATGAGAAGTTATGCTCCATTTACGTAACAACGAGTCAAAATGCATTCTACTGTCGTGGAAAACCAATTAGAACACATTTTAAAAATTAAAAAGAAAAGACAAGCCAAGCCAAAGCCTGATGCTGTAATGGGTGCTGGCCGCGTCCTGCCCCACCTACTGACCATCACCCCACAGCAAGCCCTCGGCTGCTAGTCAGGCCACAGCCCGTGCAGTCTGCCCGTCTCTCCCTGTCTGTATCTCTCTTCTCCCTGGGCCAGCCATGTGGGCACCTCCCCATCTCCCAGGAGCTGACTGAGCGATTGTGATGCTGAGATCTGCCAAGTGCCACTTCATCAGGTGACCTCAGAGCCGTGCACCCAGTCCTCCCGATGCTCTGGTGACCTCCGGCACTCCTCGCAGGCCCCCAGGCTCTGGAAGGGCGGTGACTCACGCCAGCATGGCCCACAGTTCCCTCCGGCGGCCCCTGGAGGGTCAGGGTAGCAGGATCCCACGCAGCCAGGACTGGAAAGGCAAGTCCCAGGGGACCGTGAAGCCACCATCACCTCCCAGGGGTCCCTTCTGACGTCTGTGTGACAGGGAGCCTTACGTAAGGCAGGGTGGCACCGGCTGTGAACTTGAGCAGGGTCACACCGCCCGGCGGTGTGTTCACACACGTCTGGCCAGTGCTCCGCCCTGCGGATTCCGGAGACGGGGGCCAGAATGTGCACTGCTACAGCTGCGGCTGGTCCAGGGGCCAGGCTTTCAGAGTTCAAAGCCTTCCTTATCAGTCGGAGATTCAGGGGCAGATGGACATAGATCTCCGAGATGTTTGGACTTCAAATAAGCCCATATCTGAATGTGGATTAGGCAACGAGGCATCACGAGGAGTCCAGAGGAGGAGCTTCCATGGAGAAGTCAGCAAACAATTGACCTCAGCAAGGATCAGCCTCTTCCTGCCACCTCCATTATGTTGCCTTTGCTCTCGGGGTTGCCTCTTCAGTATTGCAGAATGGCTGCTGCTGCTCCGGGTGTCAGGTGTGAACCCAATAATGTCTGCCCGAAGGAAAGAAGGAGGCTTTCCCTCATGGAGGGGAGTCTCTCTGAGAGGTCCCCACTCAACACCCCCTTGAATCTCATTGATGGGGTCACCACTTGCCCAGGCCTGGTCCCACTGTCAGGCAAGGCCACACTCATGCCTGCTGGGGAGCTCTGACTCTCAGTACGCAGCACAGTGAACCGGAACTTGACCAGGGCTCTGCCAACCACAAGGAAGGTGGGACTCGGGGCGCTGGGGCTCTGGGTGCTGGGGCTCAGGGCACTGAGGCTCGGGCCTAGGCCTGGGTTTCGACACCGCCCTGATTTACCGAGGAGACCGTGACCCGATTGCTCCGTGTTCTGACTCTCAGGCGTGCGAGGTGGGGAGATCAGGGGAGGCACCCCCTGAAGGCTGGGGGACACCTTTCCTGTGAGGAAAGGTCACGTGGTGTCGGGCACCAGGGCTGGGACAGGTTGCAGGGGACAGGGGCCTCAGGGTCTCTCAAGTCACGCACGGGGCTGAGGATCAGGGGCTCTGGGGTCAAGTGGCCTGAGTTCCAGCCAGGCTGGCTGAGGGCCTGGCCTCAGCTGGGTCCGGCCTCGGCTACCCATGTTTCAGAGTGACCCCCATCAATTCTGGGGCCACAGAGTCCAGCCTCTGGGCACCAGCGCTTGCAGGGCAGCGGAGGCCAGGCCAGAAGGGATCCTCAGGGTGCCGAGGAGGCTCTGCCGTCCCATCTCTGGCTGGCAGCCGTGCGGGGGCCTCTGCCCCTTCCTCCCACTTTTCCACACCGGTCCCTCCCGCTGTCCTCCTGGGGCTCCAGCGCACCTCACGAGGTGGCCAGAAGAACCAACAGTCCAGTCGTCACAGGGCAGGACGGGCAGGAGCAAGGACGGGGACAGAAGCCCCTTGGTGTGGGAGAGGCGGGTGGGAGGCAGCCGCACCATCCATCCCAGGCCACCCATGCCGTCCAGCCACATGGATCCTGCTGGGGGACCCTGGGCCTGTGGCCTCTGCTCCCTGGGCAACCTCAGCCTGAGTCTCCTCTCCCTCCCCACCTCAGATGCCCCCTCGTCCTTCGCGTCTCTTCACACCTCCCGCAGGACAGCACACTGAGCTGCCTACGCCCACTCCCAGGTCCCCCGTCTGCGTCCTTGGGGTCTGTTTCCCATTCATAGCACTGACCACAACTGGTGACCACTTAGTCTGTTAATTTACTTCATTTCCCCTCCGGCCTCTTGAGGGCCGGCGTGGACTGCCCGAGGCGTCCTGGGGACAGCGCCTGCGTCCACACCCAGAGTGCGTCCACGTCTCGTGGGCAGCTCACCCGCACAGGCCGAGGGGCTCCCTGCGTAGCTTCAGCACACCTAGTGACCGCCGCTCCCCGTGAGGCCAGGGGTGGGGCCTGCCGCTCGGGCTGTCTTGGCCGTGCTGGGGACGTCCTGTGTCTGTGTTCCTGGACTGGGCGTGCTGAGCCCATGGTAGCCCCGTGTCCTCGGGGAAAATCACGTCGCCTCTGTGGGCTCCATTCCCTGCAGAAGACACTGGCAGAGCCCTGGGCCAGGGCCGGGGAGATGTGGACAGTGTCCAGGGCCACGTGTGGCCACATGCCGGGCTGCACCTGTTGCTGTTCACCTCCCCTGGGCTAATTTAGGAGGCGCATAGTCAGGGGACTGGGAAAGAGAGCAGGCGCCGGCCTGCCCAGGGCCAGCCCTCAGCCCGTCAGCTGCCAGCGCGGTGGAGAGCATCTCAGTGGAGAGCAGCGTCCTCCGGGGAAATGCACGTGACCACCCAGGCCGGCTCTGCCATGATCACGTGCTTAGCACCAGCTGCATCCTGCCGGGCAGCCCGTGTGTGCGCCTGTGTGCGGGGAAACCCGCCCGGCCTGCCCCATGGGCCAGGGCTGGCAGGGCCCCTGCTCTGCCCCCCACCACCCACCCTCGCGCAGGAGAGAGGAAGAGCCCTCGGCCAGCAACGGCACTGTGATGGGCGGGGACTGTGGTTGAGCTGGAGGTGGACACAGCAGACCCCAGCGCTGACCACCTCACACTCTGCTCTCACACTTGAAATGCATCCTGCTGCCCACGTCCCTCCCGGGCTCCTTCCCATCTGTGTGCCCCCCGCCCTGAATGGCACATGTCCAGCTCTCGGGGTGACGGGCTGTGTTCTCGATTTCTCTAAAATGAGCAGAAAATCAATAATCAATGAACAGAGAATCAATAATCAATGAGCAGAGAATCAATAATCTAGAAACGTCCCTCGTAATCCTGGTGGAAGGCGTCTCCGGCTCACCCCAGCCGGGGGGAACAGGGTCATCTGTAGGCCTGTAGCATCCCAAGGGAAGGAATGTTCTAGGCCAGTACTTCTGGGCTACATCTGCCACTGTGGTGGCCACCAGGGCCACCAGAGCCACTCGACAACTGCAATGTGCCTGGTGCCACAGAAGAGCTAGATTTTTAATTTCATTTAAGTCTAGATGGCCTCGGGTGGTTAGTGGCTACAGTTTCTGATGGAACAGGGTCAGACGGGAACGTGGACAGGACTCACCTGGTGGAAATGCCCACTCTGGCCCCGTAGGGCAGGAGTGACCAAGACTCTGCGTTTCTAACCCGCTCCCTGAGGACTCCGAGGCCACAGACCCCCACAGTGGTCAGGTCCTGTGGTTCTCAGCTTGATGGCCTGTTGGGCTTCCCTGGAGAGCTTTGAGAACACTGACCTCGGGGTCCCCCTGACCGCCTGATGTAATAGGTCCACTGCTGCCCGGACACGGAGGCTGTTCAGCAGTCCCCTGAATACAGCAGGCAGCCCGGGCCACCCACACGGTCCTGCAGCTGACCTAGTTAAGGCTTTTCAAAATGACCCGTCGTCATCCCAGAGAACAGAGTCTGGTTCTAAAATATCTCTGAAGGGTCACTGGGGCCTGGCCAAGCCTCCGGGAGCTCCGGCTGACATTGTCCATCCGACTGGAAACAGGAAACGCGCTCTTCTTTCTCTTTCTGGTACCGTGGGTTGAGCCCAGAGGCACTGGACCGCCCAGCCACATTCCCAGCCCGTCTCCTTGATTATTATTATTATTTTTTTAATTTCGAGCCAGGGCATCCCTTCATTGCTTAAGGTCTCACTGATTTGCTGAGACTGGTCTCAAACTTGCCATCCTCCTGCCTCAGCCTCCCGAGGGATTTCGGGCGTGCCCGGCCACACCCGGTTACTTTTTGACAGTGGATCCAGTCTGAACAGGTGTGGCTCTGGGGACAGGTAGGGCTGGGAAGGAGGCCCTGGGATTCTGCCTGCACTTTCTGTGACCCCCATCTGCTAAGGTCCGACGGTGCTGGCCTCTCTTACTGCACTGGAACTGGAGGCCCCAGGGGCCAGGAGCAGACAAACCCCCCTGGGCTTCGGTGCTGAGCCTGGATGGGGGTGGGGAGTGGTGCTGTTCCCTGGGTGATCTGTCACCAAGGCCCACACCTGTCACTTGCTGGAGACACCCATGTGTGACGGCTGGATGTGAGGGTCCCCTACAGCTCCTGTGTTCCAACAGGAATGTCCAGAGGACAGTGACTGGACTGTGAGGCCGTGACCTGCTGAGCCGTCCTAGGTAAATGGACCGACTGGGCGGTGACCGCAGGCAGGTGGTGCCTGCAGGAGGTGGCCACGGGGCCTTCCCCCGCCCTGCTTCCTGATGCCACCACGGGCTGAGCAGCTGTCCCCTGCTGTCCCTCCTGCCATGACCTTCTGCCTCACCTGGGGCCCAGAGCCGTGGAGTCGGCCGTCCACGGACTGAGACCTCTGGAACCAGGAGCCCCAAATCAACTTCCTCCTCTAAGTGGCTCCTGTTGGGTGTTTTGGTCACAGGGTCACCAAAGGCCACTAACCCCACGTCAGGAGGAAAGGCTCACAAGTGCCAGCCTCTCCCTTCTCACGTCTCCCTGTCCCCAGAAGAGGGCCCGTCACCTGCCAACGGTCAGGACAGCGAGGGAGGAAAGCAGAGAGCCAAAACGGAGCCCAGGTCGGATTTTAACTCCAGAAACCGACGGTGGGAGCCCGGGTCTGAGAGTCGGGAGTCGTGGAGGCCAGCCGCTGGCCCCCAGGCCGGGGCTTGTCCAGGGACACCCTTGATGGCTTTAGAGGGATGCCCTTCGCAGCCCTCCTCCAGGCCGAAGGGCGAAGCTCATAGGAGGGCACAGACTCATCCAGAAGGAGACTCAGAAGTGGGTTTGGCCCTGGGAACACAGAGCCGGGAGGAGGAGCGGAGGCAGTGAGGCCCAGGCCTCTGGGGCCTCCGCACCTGGGGCCTTCAGCGGGGGAGGTGACAGGCCACGGGGAGTCCAGGACCCACACAGCATCGGCCACAGACGTTGAGTGAGGACGGCACTAGAGTGGGCAGGGGGGACGGGCCACCTGGAGGCTGGCAACCTGCCCTCTGCAGCAGGACGGGGAGATCCCTGAGGCTGGGGGCCACCTGGGCCCCGGGGCTAAGGAGGAGGAGCCCTTCTCCCACCCGCCCGGCCCCTGCCGAGCCTCCCCTGGGCCAGAGAACCTCCAACAGAGCAGGCACCTGGGAATCTGTGGCACGTCCCCTGGGCCTGCCTGAGACGGCCCTGCGGCAGGGACATCCCTCGGAAGCTCCGACTCTCCTCTGTGACACCCCTTCTGCAGAGCACCTGCTTTCTACTCCGTCCAGAAACGCAGGACGGTCCAGGCCCTGATGGGCAGCTCTGGTGCCACGGACCCCGGAGCCGGCGAGCGGGCGTCTCCCAGTGGAGAGCTACCAGGGCCCTTCTCGGAAGTCCTAGCAGAGTCTAGACGGGGACAGCACACCCAGAGTGCCCCGAGACAGTGCCCCCATCTGTCCCTGGGGGCTGCAGGGCTGGCCTTTGTACCTGCCCTCCTGAGCCTCTGGGAGCAGGTGCAGAGGCCGACCCCAGAAGTCCCTGAGCAGCGTCCTGGGGCCACACACATGGCCGCTCTCGGCACCTCTGTCCTTCCTTGAGGAGGGGTCTCCCTGGGGACCTCCATGCCTACCCCCACCTCCCGAGGCCTTATCTGAAGCCGTGCCTGGGGAGCCTGCAGGACGGCTCCGGGAGAGGCCTGGGCCAGGGCTGAGTGCACAGAGGACAGAGGCTGCCCCGGGGCTGGGTGGGGCCAGCACCTGCACCCAGCAAGCCAGGTCCTGCCTGGCACTGGGCGCCCGGGTGCCACGTGCCACAGCTGTCCTCCTCCTGGACTGTACCGCCCAGCAGGCCCACCTGGACTTAAGGCACCCCTGTGGACCCCTGGGATTCAGAGAGGTTAAAGAACCTGCCCAACGTCACTCAGCCAAAAACCAGAGCCGAGGTTTAGGAACAGTCCGACTTCCAATGGCACCCGGGGCACTGTCTCAGGAAGTTCCCTGTCCCCACAACCCCACTGTAGGGCTGCTGGTGGCTTTCCGGTTTGGGATCCCCAAGTCAGGCGCAGCCCGGGCTGGGTCTCCGGGCGGTTTGGAAGCCTGTCTTCAATCACCCAGTAACAGCCCTGCCCTTCCCGCCACGTCCCCCGCTGCCTCCTCTAATTCCTCTTCATATCCTTTATGAGGAGCCCGCCAGAGGGTGATTTACGGGCGCTCTCATCTGCCTCGCGTTTCAGGGAAGGGGGAGAGCTCAATTGGAGGGAGCGCCAGGAACCTGCCCCCGCCTGCCTCCAGCCAGCGGGGCTTCACGCTGGGTCCTAATGGGCACCTTAATGGCTTCCTGATGGGCAACGTAATCTGCCATTAAACCCACACCCGGGTGTCCCTCCTGGCTCCCTGGCTCAGGGTGTGTTGCTGCCTCCTGCTCCCTTGGGGGAACCCCTGGCCTCCCAGCCAGCACCCGCCGCTGCCCGTGGGGTGGTCCATATGCAAAGGGCGTCCTCTCTTCTGGGGTCCCAAGCTCCAAGGCTGCCAAGGGCCAGACGGGGGCAGAGAGGAGCAGGGCTGGTCCAGGGACTCTGGCCACCGGGGCCAAGGGCTACCCCTGATGGATGACGTGGGGAGATGTGGGCTCCCATCTCCCCATTTCCCCACACAAACGAGGCGGAAATGTCAGCGTCTACTTTAAAACAACACCCGACAGGCCCAATACAACATGGCAGCAGGCAGCTCTGGCCCCGAGGTGGGCTCCTCCTCCGAGGATCCAGGGGGTCCGGGCTGAGCCGCTCCTGCAGGGGTCTCCCCCTGCTCTGCTCAGCTCAGCATGGAGGAGAAAAATAACAGCAGGGTCCGTCCGTTCCCCTGTCCTGGAGGAAGCCGCAAACAGGAACATCTTGCCCCGTCGTGATTTGCGTCAGACCAGCCACGTGGCACAGCGCGGGACACTCTGGGGCTGGCCTTCTGGGGCCAGGTGCGTGCTCCCTTAACCTGCAGGTCCTGAGCGCCAAACCTCGCCACCACAAGCCACGGGGCCAGCCCCCAGAGGGATCTGCATCGGCAGAGAGTGAGCCTGAGTTGGCTGGGCCGGGAGGGGACGTCACCATGGCAACCTGCAACTTCCAGAGCCTTCCAGCCTTGGAGTCCCCCTCCAGGGGCTCGGCGGCCGGCCTCGCAGCCTGTCCTGAATGGCCACCCTCACAGCAGCAGGTCACCTCAGGGTCCCAGTAAGGGGCCACTCTGGAGACGCGGCACAGCATGAGAACCCGGCTGCCTGCCCCCCAGGCTCCCACGAGCTGGCCCCGGCTCCCTTTTCCGTACATGGACATAGACCTTGAAGCAGAGGGCAGGCTGCGTTAGCCCACGAGGCCACCACCGGAGCTCCTGGCACGCGGGCGGGCCAGCTGGGTGTTGGTCATAACAACCACCATGATATACCAGGGGGAGAGTGCAGTGTCCCTAAGCCCTGAGGACAGGGTCCACAGACCACTGGCCCCTTGCTAACCTGTGGATGCACCATCTCAGGATGATCAACTTCCGGCACCTTCTAGGATGACTGTCCACCGATGGGTGTGTCCTCTCTTGAAATTCCACCCAGCTTTCAAACCCCCATGGGAATACCCTCCTCAGTCCCCCCAGACGCAACGGTCTCCACCCTCCTCCAGGCTCAGGGTCAGCCCAGAGCAGTCGCGGCAGCTGGCCTTGGACGGCAGCTGTGTGTGGACACACCTTCTCTCCCTGGAGACGGCCACCACGTCCTGTTCTAGGTTACCCCAGCTCCGGCCTTCAACAGGACAGGCGATCAGTCAATATCTGCCCAAGAGACGGTGAGCGAGTAAACGAAGCAGGTGCCTTCAAAT